ACAACAAACGATAATCGTCATGGTATGGCAAGATCCGCAAGATCGCCGGTAGTTCAAGAGAAAAGAGGAAACGCCACCACGTGTGCGTGTGCGTTCGCTCGAAGGGGCAAGCACGCCGACCACCGTCGCTACCGTAGGAGGGGCAACTCCGGGTCAAAGGTGGGGTTAAAATCCGAGGGTGGGGATGGACCGAAAGGGATGCGCGTTGATGGTGACACTGGAGCGTTAACCGGTGTGACCGCCTTGGGTATAACTGATGCAACGAAAAGAGACGCGAAAGATCGTGGTGACGTAGAAAATTCTATTGTAGCAATAATATTGTAACATTATAGTGAGATGGCCGAAGGCGGAGAACTAGCGGGAAGAGAACAATGACGGATTGGGGGCACTTAAGGAGTTACTATTGCCGCAGACTAAATTCACGAGGCGGAAATTCGGCGCTAGAGATCGCGCGAGAAAGGAGGATGCAGTGGGAAAGAAGCGCCATGCGATTCTCGAAGAAGGGATGCTGTGCGAGAGAAAGACGCGTGGAGGGGTTGGCTGGAAGGAGTGCGGAGGAGGGACAAGATGACTGTGTGTAAGAGATCGCGAGGTGGCGGGCGAGAACCCGCGCGCTACGTGGACAAGGATGCACACGACTGAAGCGGGAGGATACGAATCGGCGAACAAACGGTACCAAGAGAGACGCGATCGCGATCGGGGTGAGCCGAGGGAGGAAAGGAGCGAGCGGCAACGCGAACACAGGCGTGAGAGATCGTGCCAAGGGGAGCGCGAGCGGTGCTAGAGAGCGAGGGATGCCAGTGACGCCGCGAGTACGAGCGAGATGTGGTAGGTGGGGAGTCTGCTCCGGGTGTGGAGGCGAAGAGAGAAGGAACGCGGATGGAGGGGAGTAAGAGCGAGCGAGCCGGAGGGAGAGGCGCAGTCAGACAGTCAGGCAGGCCGCCCGGCAAGCAAGCAAGGCAGGCAGGCAGGCAGGCAGGCAACCAGGCAGGCAGCCGGCGGAAATGAAACATTAATATTTTCACGTTTATAAAAGCGCGCGCGGCGCGGCGACACTTGGCACGCAACGCGAACGCGGCGAGTTTATAAAACGCGTATTTACGGGGACACAGAGACGATGAATTCCGCCGTACCGAGAAGGCAGAGAAGAGGGCAACTTGCTCGTTATTATATTTCCGTTCTAACTCGCCCCTTTTACATTTGCGAGAGCAGTTCGCGCTCCTTCACGCTGTTTAAGTACAGCGCGAGACACGAACGAACGCAAACTTATTACCCTCGACCCACATAAACGCATCTGCTTCTGTCCCGATCAGCAGCGGGTAATCGCGACCGACCGACCGTTCGCGTGTTCGCTTTATAAATTCATGTCGTCGCAAATGTCCTTCTCTTAGCGGGATAAGAGCGTCACTTGTTTATTCATCGATTCGATTAAACATGCCGAACTCGATGTGACACGTTTAAGAAGCGCTCGTTTAAAATAGGGTTAACGGGTTTGGAAATCGGAGAAAGTCCAAAAGTAGTTGCTCGTCGTATAGCTTACGATAAAATCGAGCGATTTTGAGAAGTGGTACAAGAGCGTCGAATTTTTATGATTTCTCAGAGAAACAATGGAGAACCGTTTGTTAATTAGCGGCAGTGACTGACGTGAAATCTTAAATCTCTCGATTACCGTGAGAAAATTCCAGATGTTTATTCGCTCGCTTACCTATAATGCTTACATTGTGACTGCGTTTACTGTGTTACTAAATTACAATAAGGTGTTACACATCGATCTTGTTGCACGTCGTAAATCCAAGGATAGTTCGTCCCTATTCCGATCCGTTCGCGACCACACTCTCGTTGTACATCCCGCTGTAACTCGCATTCACCCCGGTTGCATCGCGACACGGATGGAATCCGAATTGCAACTCTCCCCCGAGTTTCCATCCCGCGGAACTTTCTAACGGCCAATCCCTCGTAACGAAAATCCCTCTCGTAAAACTAATAGAGTAACTATTACGAAGTCTTACATCTCCATCTGTCTGTCTCCCTCTCCCTCCCTCTCTCTCTCCCACTCTCTGTCTCTCTTTCTCTCTCGCCCTCTTCCTCTCTTTCTCTGTGACTCTCGTTCTGTCTCTCGCTCACGTTCCCCAACGTTGTGAAATTTAATCAGAGTATAATAACCGTGACGTTATCGAATGCCGAGCACGCAACGGCTGCTATATCGAAGCGAACGAATTGCAACCGAACCAGGGTTGCCGGGGTTGGTCAACGTTGTTGGCGAACGAACGCCTCATTTCGCGTTTCGCCGCGGGACTTTCTCGCGCATCGAATCCACAATGGAATTGGCTCGGGTAATTGAAACGCGGGGCTATTCCTCCTGTTCCTCGCTCGCCGGCCAAAGGAGAAGGTCAGCCCCGTAGGGAAGATATAATGACATTTTGTTTATGTTCTACCACGTCGATGTTATTATTTTCTGTGTATATACACGTGAAGCGTCTTTTCTCGTCAAATTAATGCACGAAATGCAATCTAATTATCGAGTAAAAGTTTGAAAATTGTCGCAAGTTGACCGAGCTAAACGAAAAAGAAGAAAAAAAAAAGATAAAGATTTTAGGGCCTGCACGATGAGTTCGGCATCGAAAGAACAAAGTTCAAACAAAAGGAGCGTCGCGAGGCTGCAATAAAGTTTACTGCGTGCGGCTTTCCGCTTTCGGCGAACGCGATGCCAGCAACATTCACTGAGAGAGGCGTCAGTTTTACAACTCTCAAGAGGCGCGCTCGGGCCGGCGGCGAAGGTGGACGGATCATTAGCATTAATAAACGGCCGGCGTCGAACTTCGCGTCGTTTTAACGGCGAGGCGAGGACGGCGCGGACGCTTTTAGCGGAACGTTCTCCGTTGCAAAAGCCGGCACTGTTTTGTCGAATGATTCTTCGGTAAGTTGCACTCGAAACCGCCACCACGCCGGCGGCATTTATATGCAACCTTGCGGTGGCTTAATGGCGATGGCGGTTTCGCGACCGGCGGCGCGATGCCGATTTATAGACAGAGCAAAAAATTATCCGCGCAAAAACAAGTCGCTCGAGAAAATGAGAAATGTAAAGTCGCAAATTTAACTATCACGGCCAATCAGTATTTGAGACGTGGAAGAAAATGAGGGTACAGATTCACGCACGCATTTAGCAATAAAAATCAAACACCAAGAATTTATTTTATATTACAGTTTCACACAAACGAAATTACATTTATCCGTACTTAATTCGTGCTCAAGATCCACAATTTTGCACTTACATTCTGCGTTTACATTCTTTGCTTCATGAAATTTTACTGTTTCTTAGATGCAGCGGTATATACATCAGCATTGATTTTTAAATGAAGCTTGGACTTGTCGGTACAAACTGCGATTCTTGCAAGAAGGGACACGTTGCGCGCAAGCTTCAATTGTGCGAAAAATAAAGGAGTCGGGATGCCGTCGCGGTCCTTAAAGTGCTCAATGACACAGAGTAAATGGGACAAAGCTTTTAGAAGCCCCAGAAGCCGGCTATCTAATGGAGTTCTAATCTGGATACACGTTCTTTTATCAGGATCCCCCTGATATTTCAGCGATTCCATGCGACAATTCGATTGCTCCCGCCGCCATCCCTCCCGAGATAACATCTAAATGGAGTTCCATTTGTAGACGGAAACGTAATCCGCGTAATCGTGTCGCTAATTAAATTCCGCGAGCTTTTTACGTGCATGTTTGCAGGCATCCACTGCTGACGTTCTTAATGAACGAACGCATTCAGGAGTTTGATCATATCGGATCCCGCTCGCCAGATAGAACAGCTTGTATGATAAAAACTTGAACAAGATTTATGAGCGCTTCGTGTCTTTATAATAAGAATTATGTTTAATTAAAATTACAAAAATTATCGCACACGACGCAGTCGATCTTAACTTCAGTAATATATTTACTGGAAAGATTCTCATTTCTAACTACTAATACAACTAATGTAATTTTGCCATTAATCCAGTCGCTTTGTATCATTAATTTATACTGCTGCCTATCCTTACGTTATTACTTCCCGATATAGGCGATATAAAAATTCTATCAGCAAAATTACAAGCTAATACCGCCCATTTCGTCTCCTATCATAAATTCTAGTTAATATTTCAACGTTCACTTAACTTACGTCAGCATATACCTCATATCGCGAACCTTTTCAGCTCCGACAGTGCATTACCCGGATGCACTCCTATCGATCCGCCGATCTGAAGAGCCAGATTTTGATCTCCGCACGTAACTGCGGGCACCCACATTATACACACTGGCTATCTATCGCCGAGCGAATTAAACGCGTTATGCTTCAAGGCGGAAACAGAATACGGACGATTTCGGCCGTTGGCCGAGCGCGGACGTGATAAATTCGGACGGGCGCACAGCCGACGAGGGGAAAAGGAAAAAAAAAGCAACACCCGTGCAATTTATCACTCGGTCATTGACGGCAATTAATCTCTAACGACTGCGACTAATATTTATATTCTCGGGAAGAAACGTTCGACGGTGCGCAAAAAAAAGGGAGAAGGGGCAGGCGGGGGATGTTGAAGGGAGCAGAAATAATGTCTTTCGATCGCGACTCGTTTGTCACTCGGCGCGATCGATAGCTCGAAAACGACGGAGATTTTTCTCGCGCGTGCCTGCGTTTCGTATACGCGTCTCGCGATGCATCACGGAGTGGAAAGTCATGCTCTCCCTCTCGCCCTCTCTCTCGTTCGTGTACCAGGTCTCCTAAACGGCGCCTCATCGCGATGTTTCCGCACCTACTTTCGCGATAAATCGCACGGCGATAATGCGCGTGCCGCGTTTCCCCTCGCTCGGATAAACGCGTTGAAACGTGGTGGTTTCGTGACCTGGAAAAGAGTCTTTCTTTCGCATTCGTATTCGCAGCTGAATGAATTCTTCATTACGCACGACATGTTATTTTTTTTAACTACGCTGTGTGCCGTCGATAAAGATTTAACGGAATAATTAAGCAGCCTCAGAGAAAAAAATTGAAGAAACAACGTCACAACGCTATAATTGTCAAATTTTGCAAATTGATAAACATTTATGATAAATACGTCGTAATTTATTTTTATTTCTTTTTCGAAGAAAATGACTTCGATCAATATTTTAGACATTCTAAAAGAGCGACAATATATTTATCGTCCTAGCAACAACACGTCCGGGCGTGTTTTATTTTCCCAACGTCATTAGCGAGATCGGGATACTCTCGATGCACTTCATCGATGTCCGAGTTTCGGTACGTCAACACGTATCCGTCAAAGGACACGTTCGAGGTATCCTTTCGTGGGCTTTGACGACGTTGCATATGTAATAGAATGTTGTGCACGGTGGCGAGCTACCGCGTTCGATGCACGCGAGAAACTTCCGGGATTTCGAAACGACCGCGCGAGTAATCTTGTAACGGCCCTCTCAGAAGATGAGGGACTGGCGAGCGTGCCGAAGTGCTAAGTCACGAGAGCGGCGAATTTTACACAGGCCACCGCAACGCCAGAAACACCATAAATCATTAACTCTCAAACTGGTCCGTGACCGACATTATGACATCGACGATGTTGCACTTAGCGCAAGGTCTTGTAACTTGCATCACACGTAAGTGTATTTGGATATTACAGCAAACTAGGGCGAACTGACTTACACTGCCTTGGAGATGCTGATCGTGGCTGCAAATAACTCTAACACCATTTAGAGAAATACACATCGCGCGTAATCTTTATATCGCAACATGAGAGTATAAGTACAATTATGACATTTCGTTAAATTATATTTAATTTCCTTGCATTTCGTGCTAAGTGCAGAGGTAATTTGACAAAATGAAAAAGAACAGCGTTTAAAAAGTTTTCAGAAACTCCTCGTTACTGGCGTTACGGTCGAGACTCTAAATATATCGAAATTCATCAGTATGTACCGCTCGAGCTCTTTAAGTCGCGCAATTAAACCACGCTCAATACCCGTTGGACCGAGCAACGCCGAGGCGGATCGACAACGCATCATGCAGGTGCTTCCGTAAACAGGCGTTTTTCGACCCATCAGTGCATTCGATCGTAATTAATATCGACCCCGCTGGATATGGTGTCCGTTCGAGCTGGCCAATAATATCACCCGGCCAGCGATAATATGGCAGCTATCTTACGGCAAATAATGCACAGCTCGCCGCGCTCGCCGCATTGTTGACGGACAGAACGATGAAAAGAGAGAGGGAGGACGGCGGCTCGAGAGGGAGAGAGAGACATAATAATGGAAACACAAAGCTCTCGATCGACACAAATACACACGCGCGCGCAAATGAGAGCTACAAGCGCAATGCGATCCCGTTCCTCGGTTTCCTCGCCGTGACATATCACGAAAGGTTTCGCCATAATACCGACTGGTACACCGGTCGCTCCGTTCTTATTATAGCGGTCGAGTTAAAGGGCAATCCTCCCAGCGCGCGCAAATTGGAGCACTTTTGCGAAAGCAATTCGTACCTCGAGAGCAAATCGCACCATCGTACGATCGCTGAATGTTGTCCGACTACTACTCGACTCGTTGTGGACAACGAAAGTCTGCGCATTGAGAAGAATTCTTGAATAAAGAATACTCTCTTGAATAAACGAGATAAGTGGTGAGATTGTCTTAACAATTTAATGAGTTATAGACACACGGGTTATATTTCCCAACTCGGGAGAATGATTTTAATTTACATAATATGCATTTGCTAAAAGACATTCCAAAAGAGAAACATTTGATATATCGAGATGCGTTCAATTACATTTCAGATACACCTGTTGGACTTTTACTGCGATTCCGTGTATTTGCATATTACGGAGATGAGAAGGCCACGATCGAACACGTTAAGAGCGTAAGGGTTAACGAGCATCGCCACAAATTATCGGTAGGACTAATGGCGTCGGAGGTGAGCCGAAGGTGCGACAGGTGTATGTGCGGTACATGCGGCCGTCTACGTAGGAGTTTTAAGGATTATCCTGTCGCAAACGAGACACACCCTGATCCGCGGTATTCTCGAGAACTCTCTCTCTTTCTCTCTCTTTCTCACCACGGTGGAATTTGTGCCGCGCGAAGAGAAAGAGAAGGAGCGAGACGTCGAAGGTAGGAGCCTCGAATGAATATCGCTTTCTATCTTTAGAATTATAAATTAATGACACGCGCTCCTTCGCCGATGATAACGGCGATTTACGATCGGTTCGCGCGCGCCGCGAGTGTGTTTCGACGTTTTAGATACGACCGGCCTTATCTGCAGGAACGCCCGGTACTCGGTTACTCACCGGTACTCGGGAGTACGCACGGCATTATCGCGCTGTAAAACTACGCGGGGAAGTGCCGCATTTGAAGCAACGACGCAGCAAGGAGGAGAATTACGGCCGGAAGGACATCCGGATTTTTCAACAAAGTTCAAATTAGTCGAGCCTCTCCACGTTTAATAATAGTAATAACGTAAACTTCAAATGAAAACGTTATTTTCAATATATTATCTTTCAAAAAATATCATTCTTCAAATCGTACGTATAAATTATATATTTGTTTCTTATTGTAAATATTCCCATGAATCATTCTCTATGGTTTTCCTGCGTGAAAAGTTTGCAGAAACGGTTTGCAGACGGTATTAACGGGAGAGCTCATCAAAACGTCGTAATTCATCGAGATATCAAAAGTACGATTAACGAGACGAAATAATTCACGTTTTTGAGGACGCGAATTTTGCATTTCTCGGCGAATTTGCTTTTTTGCGAGCGCCGGCGCCGAATGACTTTCCAATAATTTTGACGGGTCGGATTATTCAACGCGGAAGAAGTTACGAGCCGACATTACACAGGTTTTTCGTCGGCGTATTCCGAGAACGTAGCGGTGATCGTGCAATATTCAGAGACGCGGAAAAATCGCGCGAGCCGCGCGTGCGGCATACGGGCGAGCTTAAACATTCAGTAATTACGCGCTTGTGCCGCGCGCGGTATTTTATGACACGCGCGCATTCTGCATTCAGCAACACCCCATCGACATAACGGGCGGTACCGACCGTACATACACAGCCGGGAACGGCCAACTTGGCGTGATTTTTTAAATCACGCAAACTTAATCCCGAAACACGTGAGAGACTTCAAAGATTATTAAGAGGTGATTTTATAAAAAGATATAAAAATGGGCAAACCTATTGCTCGAGAAATAAGATTTATTTCTCAAATGGACTAAGGAATTGTGCCACTTTTTATGTGCTATTTTATTTCATCGTCATATAATTGAAAAGTTCACAATCAAGACTCACACGATCTTGAGAAAATGATTACGAAAAGCTTATTTTCGAAATTTATCCTAAGCCATTTCTAATTTCGACGGGAAGAAGCGCTCTTACCTGGCCAAAGTATATTGACGTTCAAGCTCGTTTTACCTGTTTTTGCACCGTCTTAGTGAAACACCACTACGAAACCTTGTTTTCCGGTTGTCAAGGTAAATAAAGCCGCTTTGTTTTTGGATGAGCTCTAGAAAGGACGAGTTAAAGCGATACTTTGAAGAACGGGCTTGCGCTCGCACTATACGTCCGCAAGCTCGTCTTTCTTACACAGAAGCTCATCTTAAGTTCCGACTATGCATACACTGTTCCTGTGCGCCAAGTATACACGACTGGCAGCAAGCAAATAAAATATGAGAAACGAGAGGGAAGAAGAATTAAGAAAAGGAAAAAAAAAACAAAAAAAGAAGGTAATGCGATATTCTGCACCCGGGATTATAACAGCCAATTATTTTTAATGCACTTTTGTGTGATCTTTTAGATTTTAGTATATAATATATAAAACATTTTCAAATATTCATATGCTCCACATAAAAGGACTTTTAATATAAATTTATTATTAATACATTTAATAATATAATTCCGTTTATAATTTCCAACGTCATACAGAAATATAAATGTCAATTCTAAATAAACGGATATTATTAATGTGATTATCGTTCGAATTTAAATATCATTTGAATATCAATTAAACTTTAGAATGTAGGATGACGCGTCTGAAAAGCCACTCTTTTTCGCGTGAAGTCTATATTCGTACGAAAAGGAGGTGAGTGTCGGATATCCCGGTACATCTCGTTTTATCGATCGTTACCGACGGCTCGACCAACATTCACCATTTAGTACGCTTCTATCTTGTACGTGTAAATTACGAGGACGAGGACGAGGAGAGGACGATGACGACGACGAAGTGCACCGTCTATTGCTTATGCAGAAGGCGGACATGTACGTGACCGCGGCCACGTCGTTAATTTCGCTAAGTACCAGCCAAAGTCGGGCTATACACGCCTACATTGACCGCTTCATCTCGCGTTAAGTAATTGCCAGCCGATGGGAATTACAATCGCAGTCGTTCATCATCGTCCTCGGGCATGACACGCTGGAGACATGGAAAGAGATGGACAAGCGCGGTTTGTGGCCTTCGCGCGGCCGTACAGCATGTTCGACGACTGGCGATATTCCCTGCCGACTTTTCTTTTCAGCAAAAGTTCCGCGAAATAAATAATTCGAATCGAGACAAATTTTTAAACATTTTTTTTCCCAAAAGCGTTTCAAAAGTAAACAAGTTACTTTTTTTTCATGTAATTTTCATGTAAGTAAAACTGAAAAAAGGCACTTTCAAAGTTCATGTTATCATGTTTACCATCAAGATATTCAACTCGTATGGTCCAGTAAGCTTTTAAAATTGCTAAAAGTAACGCTATTTAAATATTCTCGCTCTCTTTTCCGTTAAAAATTTCAAATGCAGACACAAAGCTGAAACTGCAAACAAAAATAATCCTACTCGCCTTGCGAGTTTAAATTTACATCGCGTCATGAGACAGAAATATTTTATTCGCGACAATATTAATTTTCAACCAACGGAAAATATGCGTTTTGTTGTTTTACTTTCCTGCAGTAGAATTCATTTTAATTTTTGCAACGGAGGGAATAGAGAGATCTCTGTACGCGTCTGCCACGACGACACCCCGTATGTGGAACGCGCGATAGCTGTACACGCGGTTATTATGAGCAAGATCTGTGCCCATATACGATAACTGTGCCGCTCTCCAGTTATGCCTCCTCTTTCTCATCATAACCGCATATACATATTTATGCCGCTGTCTAGTCATGTACCCGTTCGAAAGAAGCAGCAGAGAGAGAGAGAGAGAGAGAGAGAGAGAGAGAGAGAGAGAGAAAGGGGGGAGGAGGGGAGGTAAGAGATGCAGAAAGATCGATGATTTAGTAGATGTTTATAATCTGGAATATGGTCATTATCATTGTGTTTCATATGAGAAAGTAAAATATGTAATACAATAATACAATATTATAGTATAGATAGTCACAATTACGCAATAGAAATATAATAAATTAGATTTAACAGCGAGAATAAAAGCGAGAAGAAACGAAAGGGAAAGTTTATTACGTTCCAATAAAGAAGTTTTATTTAAATTTCTTTATACATATTTTATTATACATTTTCTATAAAAATTTATCTTTATCGACTTACACGATGATTATTTGGAGGTCTTAGTGTTAAAGATTCTCTTTTTAAACAGTTCGATTAATTATTCAAGCGTCGAATGGTTTAAAATTAAAAAGCAGGTGCCAGCGTGCGCTTTTGTATCCGATTTAGCATTGAGGACCTTACCAAGGAGGGACGGCGGAGCTGCTCAGCCGTCCCGTTTCGTTTATTTATCACATCCACTTTCTTCATTTGCGGCAGCGTCAGGAAAAACGCCGGGAATGTCTTTCGGAATTACGGGAAATGCGCTCTGTGCCGCGACTGCGAGATGCGGAACACACACGGGCGTGTTTTATGCACGAAGGTACGCACACGATACGCGTAGGGGTATATCGCTTGCGTATACGCGTGCACGTGTCGAGAACCTAATTCAGAACGCGGCGGAGCGTGGCTTAATTCTTTGCGCATATCCTTATGGAGGTGTTCGCGCTAAAAACACACGCTTTTACACGATTCGCGAGGATAAACGAGCGGTAAGGATATATAAGAGCGCCTGCACGCGAGAATAAAGTTGCATGCATAAATACCGCATTTTCGACACTGTCATTCTTCAGCGTGACCAAGTTATTAGCAACAAGTGAACAACGGGGAATACTTACTTCTCGCGAAATTTCATCCCCGCGTCGCAGCCCGTAATACAAAATACACCACCACAGTAAACAAAAACTATTATTAAGGAAAAATTTTCAGCAAAATGCAAAATTGATTTTTACTTGGTGAGAATTTCAACGTTAAATCTTTTGACAGAGAAATTAAACGATCTAAAATTTAAACGAAAAATCTCCGTTAGAGTTGTATCGAAAATAAATACACATTTACATACAGAATTTAAATCGCAAAAACTTTTGCTCTTCGGCTGAAAATGAAATATTTCTATTTCCTGAAAATTCTTATTGAGCGAAACTCAGCCTGAAATATAATAAAGATCCTATTTTTAAAAAATTGTTCACGCAAGTTACATTTGTCAATGTTATTAACTATAAACAACGGAGAACTCGAAATGCAGATTGCGAGATGCTGCGGGCTATTTCTGCCGCGTAATGCGCGCGCGTTAATTAAAATAAATGACCACGAAACGTTCGAATTTTGTGCATTGTTACGCAATTAATGTCGAACCGGCCGGGTATACATCAATCGATAAAAGCGCGGGCGCATATTAATCAGCGAAATTTACTGAGAGAGACAGAGAACGGCTGGTATATCGCGGAAACTTAGATTTCACTCCGGCTGCCACTCCGCGTACAAGAGCTCACCGACTATAAAACGTCGATGCTGCTTTGAAACAGGCTGCACGTGGCTGAATGCATTTCCGTCTACACCGGTGCATCCACTTTGTTGGCGCGAAAGCGAAACCTGAACAGTTCCTCGTGCGGACGTCGTTATAGAAGGAAGATGAACGACGACAAAACGCACTATGACTTTTCACTCGTCGGAGAATCAACACAATATATTTTGAAAACATTTTTTTGTAAAATATACGATTTTATTATTTAATTTAATTAATGTAGAATGCAACATATACAGTGTTTTTGTCTTCGCTGAAAATACGTTGTATCTATTTATTTATCCGCATATATTAGGCAAAGCCTCCACGCGTCAAATTTGTTTTCCTGCCACGCGTAAAACTCGCGATAAAAATGTTGGAACGTTAGAGCGGTACTTGGCTATTTATTTGCATTACTGGTCGACTAACATTTTTTTTTTTTTGCGACGCCACCGGGCTATCCACGTTATTTGTTATTCATGTTACAGCCGCGACTTAACCGCACTCTTCTCCAGCCGCATAAACGTGGAAACCTTAAAGTGTCTCGATAATGATCATCTCGTGAAATACCAACGCCGCTAGAACGAAGATATCCAAGAGTGTTTCTAACGTTTCAACGCATCGTTTCGTCACTGGCAGCCGATGTCGCAAGACCGTGTAACAACAGTGTACAGAACGTCCCCGGGATTGCCGGAACAAATATCTACAATAATATTTCTTGAAGGCGGACACTATTTTTCATGC